CAGATTAAATCTATCTTAAACTATACTGGGATAGTCGTTCCTCAGAACTGGCTTATAAATATTATTATTAACTTCTATAGTCCAAGCTAATAATACAGATAATTATTAATCTTCTTATTAACTTGATAATACTGTTGGCTCATTCATAATAGTCTGTTATCTTAACTAATTATAGTATATCCTGTTCTTTAATAATTAATCATACTGAATAATATATAGCTTCTTACTATCTAGTATCCACGTTATGATTTCCATTCAAACTTCGTGCTGAATAATGGTAACATTATAGACTTCTCTGCCTTGATCTGGGTTCGTAGCTCTCAACTATTTCTGAGACTGTTACTGTTTCTGACTGTAGTTCTTTAACTAATGACCTGTCTTGCTGCAGCTAAAGCACAAGCAGTCTCTTTTATACTGTTCAAGTTCCTTCTTAAATACTCTATTCTATTAAGTCTGATATTGTGTTATATCTAGCTCCATTGGTTTTGATCTATAAGGATCTTCGTATCCCAAGCTTCTAGATTGTGCTAACCTTTTATTATTAGCTCGATAATCTGATTAACTGTTTTATCAAGATATAGACCCGCTGGTCCATTAGCTTTCTTATTATTTTATATTGTATTTATATAACTTATTATCAATCTTAACTACTGCTTTGATCATCTTTAACAACATGTTTAATTATTCTTGCTAGATAAGTTTCTTCTAGATCTCTATCTTGAGTCCCTTTTTGAATCATGCAATATAGACATTATCATTTTAATCTAAGTAACTAGTAACTTGTAAAAACTCTGAAGTATACTTAGATACTGATCTAGTTTACTTAAATTATTATAACTTTTACTCAGTATTTTATATTATATTAATATCTTCAAATATCTGTTTGAGACACTGCTTAAATCTGGCATAACTAATAAAGATTCACTTCATTTTATTATTCTGATTATCTACCAATTTTTCTTAATACTTGTAGATATATAGTTTAATTAATTAAATACTGATTCAGTCAGGTAGGTAGACGTGAAAAGAATCTTATCAACCTTATTTTTAAGCTTTTCTCTATTCATGCCAAGGTACAAGTCTAACTGGGTCAAGAAAGCCCTGAGCTTTGCTTGATTACTGTCAAATGGTTCTGATAGTCAGACCTTAACAGATTTGACTGCCAAGCAATCTTTAAATAACTGGTTTTATCATTCTAAGGCGGTGATGATTTCTTATAACTGACCAACTATATCCATTAGTTCTTGTGTTGTCAAGCCCTGCTGCTATAGGGCGCGCGATGAGTTCAATATAGTCAACATGATGAATAGTTATCACTGGGTAACACTTATACTGACTGGTGCTCAATGTATCAAACCCTAGGATTGCTTCTCCCTGTTCCTGTTAGCTTAGCTTCTGTTACAATATATATCTTCGAACTGAATCGAGGTAAGTCAGGCTGATGACTATCTAAAGATGACTGGTTCTGAATAAGAGAAGAGAAGTAAGGCCAGATAGTGCCGCGCAGCTATCTGTAAGTAAGTATAGATGAGTATTATTATTAAGCTTTACCAAAATATATAGTTACTTAAAGATAATTATATTAAGCATGAAGAATAGAACTAACTAAATATAGAAATAAGTGTCTTTATATATTCTATCCTCTATATACTATCTTATATACCATCAGGTCTATTATATATCTATATAATAATTATAAACCATGATGGTATGCTGTATACTACATGCTTGTCTGTATACCATGGTCATGTAACAACTCAGATCAGAACTTTACCTGATAAGAGTTGCTGTCCGTCCGGGCGTAGCCTTCTGCCTGACATGCCCGCCTTACTAGTCGTTCAGCTAGCAGGGGTCCGTAACAAGTAGTTTATCATAGTGTCTAGCCACAATCTCTGTCCTTATAGCAGTTAGTATAAAGATTAGTTTATGAAAGCAGGCTAGTCTATCTTTATTAATGATAATCTTGTCTGGTGAGCCTTTACTAATCTCCTAGAATATCTTGTCTTTTTTAGTAATATTAGTCAATCATCTGGTTAGATTGCTGCCTATTTCCAGCATTGCTGTAAGATTGGTCTTATTATAGCTGATTAATCTATCTATATTTCACTTCAGGATGGCTGGTTTAATAATCTTTTCTTTTATTCTATAGTCTGGTCTATAACTTAATATATCTACATGTTTATTTTCTGTTCCTTTATAATATACTATATATAAGTCATATTATAATAAAACTTTAGCCCATCTTGCCTGTCTTCTGGTCAATTTTTTGATTATTATGAAATAAGTTAAGTTCCTATAATCTGTTTTTATAATAATAATATGTTTTACTTCTTTTAGATAGACTCTTTACTGCTTAAATACTATCATAATAACTAGTAATTTCTTGTTATGAATATCATAGTTGAGTTCTGCCTGAACCAACTTTCTTAAGTAAAATATAATCAGTCTAGATTTTCTATCTTCTTCTAGCTGTGTTATACGCATTCTGACAGCATAGTCTGATATATTGATTTTAATAGTAGTTTCTTTTTCCGGGTCATGCTGTACAAGTACTGATAATATGATAAATCACTGTTTAATATCTTCAAACATGTACTGCTGTGGTTCTTCCTACTTATATTTCTTTGACTTCTTTATAAGCTTAAAGAGTTTATATAGATAGCATATCCATCTATAAATTATCAATAGTAATTGACTAGTCTGATAAACTGCTGTATTTCTTTCAGATTCTTAGATTAAGGCCAGTCCTGTATAGCTTATACTTTAGCTTGCTCAGTATAGAGTTTCTCTATAGATATCTAATATTTTAGAAACTCTGTTTCTTGTACATAGAATTTACACTTCTTCAGCTTATATTATAACTAATATAGGCATATTTTATACAAAATAAGTCTTATATATCTAACATATTTTTCTTATATCTTCAAGAAGATCAAGATATTTGTTACGGACCCCTGCTAGCTGAACGACTAGTAAGGCGGGCATGTCAGGCAGAAGGCTACGCCCGGACGGACAGCAACTCTTATCAGGTAAAGTTCCGATCTGAGTCATCACATGATCATGGTATACAGACAAGTATATGATATACAGTATATCATCATGATCTATAATTACTGTATAGATATATAGTAGATCTAATAGTATATAAGATGATATACAGAGGATAGGATATATAAAGATACTTATTTCTATAGTTAGTTAGTTCTGTTCTTCATATTCAATATAACTGTCTTTAAGTAACCATATGTTTTAATACAGCTTAGTAATAATACTTATCTGTATTTACTTACGGATAGCTGCGCGGCACTATCTGGCCTTACTTCTCTTCTCTTGTTCAGGACCAGTCATCTTTAGATAGTCATCAGCCTGACTTATCTTGATTCAGTTCGAAGGTACGTATTGGAACGGAAGCTAAGCTAACAGGAACAGGGAGAAGCGATCCTAGGGTTTGACAGACTACTGCTGCAATTATCTGTGATAATATATTTAGTTATTCTTATTAAATAAGTTTCTCTTGAATCTCTATCTTGAATCCTTTTTTAAATTATATAATATAGGCGTCTTCATTCCAGTCTAAGTAACTGATAACTTATAAGAATTTAGAAGTATATTTAAATATTAATTCAATCTACTTAAGTTATTATAGCTTTTATTCAGCATTGCATGCTATATTAATATCTTTAAATATTTATTTAAAATATTATTTGAATCTGGTATAACTAGTAAAGATTTATTTAGTATTATTATTCTGATTATTTACCAACCTTTCCTGGTACTCGCAGATATATAGCTTAAATTAATTAAATATTATTTTAGTCAGGTAGATAAACGCGAAAAGAATCTTATTAATCTTATTTCTAAGCTTCTCTTTATTTATGTTAAGATATAAGTTTAACTAGGTTAAGAAAGCCCTGAGCTTTACTTGATTACTATTAAATGATTCCGGTAGTCTGATCTTGACAGACTTGATTACTAAGTAATCTTTAAGTAACTAGTTCTGTTATTCTAAGATAATGATATTTTCTTATAACTAACTAACTATATTTATTAGTTCTTATATTATCAGGCCCTGCTGTTACAAAGTGCATGATAAGTTTGAAACTATTAATATAATGGATAGTTATAAGTGATAACACTTATACTGACTGGTGTTTAATATATTAAACCTTAGGATCACTTCTCTATTTCTGTTAGTTTAGCTTCACTGGTATATATACTATTGAACTGAAGTAAGGAGATATCAGGCTAATAACTATCTAGGAATAACCAGTCTTAAATAAGAAAAGAAAAGTAAGGCTGAATAATGCTGCACAGTTATCTGTAAGTAAGTATAGATGAGTATTATTATTAAGCTTCTAAATTTATGGATACTTAAAGATAGTATTATTAAGTATAAAGAATAGAACTAGCTAAATATATAAAAGAGTATTCTTATATATCCTATTCTCTATATACTATATTATATACTATTTAAGATAGATTAATGATTGATTTAATCATAATCCAGGATCTTAATATATCTTGTATATATCTTCAATGGTAGATTTGATGGTAGATGATTATGTGATATTGGAGTAGCTACTAAGGTAATTCAATCATGTAGAATGAGATAGATGATAATCTAGCTCAGGGCCTTGTAGGCCATCTATATAGACTAACTAGTGGTGTAAAGAGAAGTGTCACGTGACCCTATGTTTCCTACCGGCGTGGGAGCCTATCGGGGATTCTAACATACTCCCTTAGGTAATGAGGTGTCTCTTAAAACGTGTAAAATGAAGCTAAAGTTGTCGAACTATTATGCTATATTAGGTTTCTTCTGGTGGTTGTGGTTCGGGCTTTATTCTTGATATTATTTTCAGTAGGTTAAGGAAGGTCCTGAACGCCTTCCATTCCAGTGGCTTGGTAAAGCTGTCTACAGGGTTCTATGTTTCTGTAATATATAAAATTTTGATAATATTCTTCTCAATTATATCAGTAATAAAGAGATAGTGGTTATCTAGCTACCTGATGGTGTGAGTATAGCCTTCCTGGTGCAGGATATTAAGAGAATTCACTGAGTCCGTGAACACTGGGATCCGGCCGTTGGGCGAGACCATAAGGCCAAGCACTACTACCAATTTTTTAATATAAAGTGTTTCTTTGATGGTACTATTGAACGTGCAGAACTCTGTAATGGCTAAGAAGGTTATAATAAGGCTTTATTTGCGTGAGGCCCATGATATTAATGATCCTGTATAAAAGATAATATATCTCTTTATTGATTTATTATTTTTATAATCTTTATAAGATAAATCTACATACGTCTCTATACTCTTCATATGGTCCGCTGCGAGCAGGATGCTGAGTTCAGGATTGTTGGTTAGATATTGGCAGATGTGTTTCAGGGTCTTCATGTCTGCAGCAAGGGGTGCCTGGAGTCTTCATTGTAGGTGAAAGATTATGAGACAGAGGTCTGGACGTGTCTTTATGGCGAGCTAGTTGATATACCCTACAAGATATTGATATTCAGTGGTATTAGCTACTTGTAAAGTCATACTAGTACAGTCAAGTCTCCTGTATAACAGCATTATCAGGATAGCGGATCCGGACAATTCTTGTATTCCTGCCATGATCAGGGATTCTTTAGTATACACTGGTTGTGATAGTAGGATTATTCTGATTTTATAATCATATTTCAGGTTGCATTCTAGAAAGATCTTTGGTTTTCCTAGTTCCTTTAATCCGAATGCCTGGAACAGGTATTGTTTTAGCTCTATAAGGTCTTTCTGTCTCAGAGCTGTAATGGCTGAATTATTAATAAATATGATAAGAATAATATTATCTTTCTGATAGATATAAGGATTGTCTTTTAAAGGTTTAAATCTGATCTTGCTTAGGCAGTTAGTAAAGGTCTGATATTAGAGAAAAGTAGCTTACTGGAGATCATATAATGCCTGATTTAACTTACAGACCTGATCCTCAGGTTCTTTATGATAACCAGTTAGTTATTTTATAAGGATTTACTTGCTTTAGATCATTGCATGTAGATAGGCAGAGACAATATCTTACTACTTATAATATAGCTGTTTTAGTATAATATTGGTTAAGAATAGCTTTAATATGATCTTGCTTACTACAGATGCAGAGGACTTGTTATAATCAATATCTAACATCTGGCAGTTACTGTAGATTATCTAGTGAGCCTGGAATTGAGTCACGAAGCTGGTATTATCAAGTTTTAAGTTATATACCTACTTCCCCGGGATGATTCAGGCTTTAAAGGGTTGTTTAATGATTTAATAAGTATCCATATATTTGATCTTATCAATCTATATGTTTATGATTTCTTTTTAGTAAGGTATTAGTAAGGACTTTATGGTTTTCTAATAAATGTTTAGAATGATAACTTTATGGTATTTGAGATATGGAATTACAGTGTTTTTAGTAAGGGCAGTTAAGGCAGCATTGCCGTACAGTCTGCCTGATTGTAGTAATGATTGGGATTCCTCGGTAAGGGCCTTGATTAATTGGGCTTCAGGAAGTTAGTGATCCTGAGCTAAGTATTTAGTATTTACAGTATTATACGCGTGGAGGTTCTCCATAGATTTAAGTAAAAGAATGATTATGGGGTCTGCCGTGTTAGAAATTGTTTTTATCTGGCTAGTAATAATGTCTTTCTTAGTGAAGGCTTTTATTGTGTATCTTGATGTTAATATTTTATTATTGCTAGTAAGAATGTCTTTCAGTTATATGGATCTTCTGGCTTGCGGGGTCAGGGACAGTTACTTCTATATATTAAGATTCTTATAATCTGTTTAGTATGTCTTTGTTTTATTAAAAGTAATGTTTCTCGATTGTTTCATCTTATCAGAATCAGGGAATCAAATATGGTAGATGTGGCCATAATCTTTATTAAAGCTAATAAGATAGTCTATTAAAGCCCTGGGATTCAGCTTCTAGGATTGTGTTTGATTTTTCATAGATATATGGATGTATGTGCGGCAGCTGAAGATATGTAGGACTTTAAGTAAGGCATTAGGATTTAGCAAGTTATAGAATATTTAGTATAGAAATACCAGAGTCTTCTTCAGGTCTCCTTCTTTTAGTAATAAGTGATTTTGTATCTGAGCATTGAGCTTGATGGTAAATAGCTAGAGATAGCCTGATAGGCTAGAATTAATCATGATTATTCTTACTATTTGATTTATTAAATCACTATATTATTCTGATAGTCTGTTTACTTCAGGTATACAGGATGATGATATCTGTATATAAATTCTACAGTCTTTATAAGTTACTCATAACTTGAAGTAAGTAAATTCTTGGTCATTATCTAGATACCAGGCTGCAGGATAGTGGTGTTACAGACCCCTGCTAGCCAGGTTACTAGCAGAAGCGGACTCGTCAGGCAGAAAGGTAACGACCAGGAAGGGCTCGGGCAGCCAGCAACTCTTATTGAGCAAGATCCCGGTTAGGGTAACGTCCGAGGCAACACTGTGTCACATGACCATCTACCATCAGATCTACCATCGAGAGTATACGACATGGTATATGGAATCCAGGAATATGATTGGATTGATCCTCAATCTACCCTGAATGGTATACGAAATAGTATACAAAGGATAGGATATAAGGACACTCTTTCATATACTTAGCTAGTTCTGTTCTTCGTGCTCAATCCAATTATCTTTAAGTAACCATACGTTTTGGTAAAGCTTAGCAACAACACTCATCCGCACTTACTTACGGATAGCTGCACGGCACTATCTGGCCTTACTTCTCTTTTCTTGTTCAGATCAAGTCATCTTTAGATAGTTATCAATCTGACTTACCTTGATTCAGTTTAAAGGTATGTATTGGAAACGGGAGCTAAGCTAATAGGAACAGGAAGAAGCGATCCTAGGGTTTGATACATTGAGTACCAGTCAGTACGAGTGTTATCCAGTGATAACTAGTCATTATATTGACTATATTAAACACATCGCGTGCGCCACAGCAGGGCCCGATAACCAAGAAACTAATAAATATGGTTAGTCAGTTATAAGAAAGTATCACTGTCTTAAAATAATAGAACCAGTTACTTGAAGATTGTTTATTAATTAAATCTATTAAGGTCTGACCACCCGAGCTATTTAACAGCAAATGAGTAAGGCTCAGGGCTTTCTTGACTCAGTTAGATCTGTACTTCAACATGAACAAGAAAAAGCTTAAGAATAAGGAGAACAAGATCTTTTTCATGTCTACTTACCTGACTGAAGCAGTATTTAATTAGTTTGAACCATATATCCGCGAGTGATAAGAGAAGTCAGTAAGTAATTAGGATAATAATATAAAGTGATTTTTTACTAGTTACACCAGATTTAAACAGTGTCTTGAACAGATATTTAGAGATATTAATACAGTACAGAATATTAAGTAAAAATTATAATAATTTAAGTAGATGAAATCAGTATTTATATATACTTCAGAGTTTTAGTAAGTTATTAGTTACCTGGACTGGGATGACAACGCCTATATCTTATAATTTAAAGAAGGACTCAAGATAGAGATCCAAGAAAAGATTATTTAGTAAGAACAACTGGACATATTGATTAAGATAATTAAAACAGTAGTTAAGATTAATAATAAGTTATACAACTTTAATATAAAACAATAAGAAGGTTGATAGATCAGTGGGTCTATATCTCAATATAATAATTAGCCAGATTACTAAGTTAATAACAGAAGATCAGTATAATCTAGAAGCTTGGGATATGAAGATCTCTACAGACTAAAACTAATAGAGCTAGATGCAGCACAGTACCAGACTCAATAGACTCGAGTGTCCAAGGAGGAACTCAAACAGCATAAACAAGACCGCTTGTGTTTTAGCTGCAGCAAAGCAGGTCACTAGTTAAAGGACTGTAGTCAGAAACAGCCTCAAAAGTAATTAAGCACTACGAACCAAGATCAAGACAGAGGAGTCTATGATGTCACCACCATTTAGCACGAAGTTTGGATGGAATCTGTAATACAGATATTAGATAATAAGAAGTTACATACTATTCAGCATGATCAGCTATCAGAGAACAGGATATACCATGATTAGTTAAGATAACAGGCCATCACGGATGAGCCAACAGTACCACCTAGTTAATAAGAGAATTAATAATTGTCTGTACCATTAGTTTGGACTATAAAAGTTAATAATAATAATTATAAGCTAGTTTTAAGAAATGACTATCCCAGTATAGTTTAGAATAAAGATAAACTATCAGACAAAGAGTACAGTATACTATTTAAAGATCTTAAACCCAGTAAGAAGAGATTCAGCAAGATATCTAATATCTCTAAAAAACCTTTATCAGAAATTAATAAACTCTGTTCATTACAGCGAGATGAGAATAAGAAAAACTAGAAAAATAATTAAAAAGATATTACTTATTAGTTAGACCGCATATTAAAAGAGATCTCAGAGAATCTAGCACAATTCTGCTCAGAGTTCAAGATAATCATGCAGCATTATTTATATTGAGATTTAAAATATTGGAAATTATAAAATAAGACTTGGAAACAATATCTACAGAGATGCTCTTATTATCTAGAAGTTTGCTTAATATATAGACAAGATAATATAGATTATTATTATTAATTATTAGAGATTAGTTAGAAGATAAATGTTGCAGGGACAGAGTCTTGATATAATAAACTATATCTGTACGTTTATTTCAAAGAAAGTAGAGATTATTAAAAATATAATAAACTTCCTTAGCTTATATATTATATAAACATATGCTTAATATATCATGATTAGAAGTATATTACCAACTACTGACTTAAGATACTGGAAGTGGTTAGGACTAAGATAAGCCATTATCTATGTTCTATCTTTAATTATATATATAAAGGGTATCAGAGATATCCTTACTACAGATTAATATATTGGCTAGCATGTTTTAATAATCAGTATATAATATACTACACAGTAAAGATAAAAGGCTCAAGATTTCTAAGAAGATACCCACGGTAGTTAGCACCTAACTAACTAGAACAGTAATTAATAATCACAAAGTCAGGACTATACCTGAAAATCTAAGCAGTCATATTAGATTAACCAGCTCAAGTATTAGTAGACTCTGGAATAACCAGAAACTTCATGAACCCGCGATTCATGTAACAGCTTGAAATACTTAGATAATAAAAAGCAGAATCTAAACTAATTACAGAACTAAATAAAGAGAATTTAGGAACTCTTGTATTAATAATCAAGTTAAGAATTATATCTATAATTATAAAAAATCACTACAAGTATATAGACTTTAACATGATATCTGTCAAACCCTAGGATCGCTTCTCCCTGTCCCTGTTAGCTTAGCTCCCGTTCCGATACGTACCTTGTGAACTGAATCAAAGGTGACTTGATCTTGAACAAGAGAAGAGAAGTAAGGCCAGATAGTGCCGCGCAGCTATCCGTAAGTAAGTGCGGACGAGTATTGTCGCTAAGCTTTACCAAAACGTATGGTTACTTAAAGACAGTGTTATTGAGCACGAAGAACAGAACTAGCTAAGTACGTGAAGGAGTGTCCTTATATATCCGTTCCCCGTATACTATTCCATATACCATCGGGTCTGTCGTATACCCACTTGGTAGTCATAGACCATGATGATATGTTGTATACCACATGCTTGTCCGTATACCATGGTCACGTGATCCGTGTCGCCTGACGGTTCGGGTCGGGATCCTCCTCGATAAGAGTCCCCTTCCGTCCGGATGTGGTCTTCTGCCTGACATACCCGCCTTACTAGTTGTCCAGCTAGCAGGGGTCCGTAACAGTTAGGTTCTAACTATTATAGATATCTTCTTAAAAATCTTAAGCCTTCTATCTTTACCGTGTAGTATATTATATATTGATTATTAAAACATGTTAGCTAATATATTAATCTGTGGTAAGAATATCTCTGATACTCTTTACATGCATAATCAAAGATAGAGTATAAATAATAACTTATCTTAGTCTTAACCACTTCCAGTATCTTAAATCAGTAATTAATAATATACTTCTAATTATAATATATTAAGCATGTATTTATATAATACACAAGCTAAAGAAGTTTATCATGTTTTTAATAATCTTTACTTTCTTTAAAATAAATATATAGATATGGTTTATCATACTAAGACTCTGTTTCTATA